GGGGGCGGGGGAGATGCCCGGTCGCGCACATGTGAGCCAGATCCCGGCGGAGCATGTGAGCCGAGATCTGGTACGATGTCTCCGGCACCGGTGTCGGCGCGCTGTGGGCGCTACGCCCATTCGGGCGCCATCCCGAGTGCTGGCGCTCGGTTGTCATGCGAGCCGGCGACGGAAGGCGGCCAGGGCACGAGAGGATCACCACGGAGAGGGGGGCCGGAGGGAGGGCTGGAGGCAGGGCAACAGGCGAATGGGCAAAAGGCGGGCGAGAAAGGGGCAGGAGGACACTTGCTATTCCCCCAGGCTGCTGCATCATCCGCCGGATGGGATCCACACAAATAGCAAACCACCCCACGGCACCCCTCAGCCGGGTGCTGCCAGGCGTCTGGGGGCGAGGAGGGGGGGGGGGGGGGGCCGGGGGACACGAGCCCGAAACCATGCACACACCACGCAATCCATCACGCAAGCGCACATTCACACACAGGCAGCAGCCGCACCTTCTCGTCGCCACTTCCCACCCGCTAGTTATCCCCCAGGCACAGCAAGACAGGCGGATGGGCGAATGGAAACCGCCTGATATCGCCCAATGTCTCTCACGTGTGTATGTGCCAACGGTCGAATGCACTGACACGTGGGACGCGATCCCTTCAGCCGGAGTACAGCACACTTGTCGTAATGACATTCTCCGTGGCGGCGCCGCTGCAGAACTCCCACTAACGCGCGAAGAAAAATGAATAGTTCAATCTTCGCCAGCCGACATGCCCCCCCCCCCCCCCCCCCCCCCCCCCCCCCCGTTCCACCCTCCCCCCCCCCCGAATCCCCCGGGGCGCAGGGAGGGCGAGTGCCGCATTCTCCTGAGATCCACCAGGGGGGGGGGGATGCGCCAGCATGCCAGGGCCAAGGGGACCAGTTTCCCGAGCCGCGCCGACTCTGGCAGGGTCTAGCCTGGGTCGATTGCGTCCGGTCCCACGATCACCCCGACCTCCCCTGCCCAGCCCCCCCCTTGTGGCCTGGCCTGCCCTCGGACGGGTTCCAACGCGCCACTGCACCGCGGCCTGGCCCCCGTGCGAAGAGCAGGCCCGTAAGCCGGTGTATTTTTCCCTCCATTTTTTCTCCGCGCGCGCGCGCGCACGCTTGCGCCCCGCAACCCGGATGTGTCCTAACGGGGGACACACGCCCCGCGCGATCCATTGGTATCTGTCGGCTTGCGGGACCCCGCCAGAAGGACACCCCCCGAGCATTGGACTCCCGCCGCCAGGGCGAGGGGCCGGGGGATGTGTGTCATCGGCCCGCCTGTAAGCCGCCCAACACGCCCCGCCACCCCCGGGCATCCGGCGCATCAACAAGAGCGGGCAGACCCAGCCAGCGCGACTGCCGCCCCGCGTGCAGCCCGCTGCCCAGGCTGCCCAGGACAGCACACGGACATGCCCCCTCCACGCATGCCCCGACGTCTTGGCAACTCCCGGACAGTCGGCCCCCGGAGGGGGGGGGGGGGGGGGGGCAAAAGACCCCAGGCTGCCGGCGCCTGCCTGGCCGATCACCGCCCGCCCCGCGCACGGATTAATCCCCCTGTCCCAATGCGGGGGGTGTCTCCGAAAGCCCCGACCCGACCGAGGATGGGGGGGGGGGACATTACACAGTCGTGTACTCCCCAGGCGACAGAATGGGTGGCATGCCAGGCCACCTTCCCCCTCCACACACGCCGCGCGGGGGGTGCAGCCCAAACGCGCGCCTCCACAGATCGGCGGGCAGTAGCAGGAGTGGCGGCTCTTGCGCCCCTTTTCGCGCGGCCTCGCGCCATCCCCCGATCCGGATCCCAGCCACACCTCCCCCCTCCCCTCCCTTCTCGTCCGACATTGCCCTCGCACGCACACACGCACAAACCTCCCCCTGCACCCGGCCCTCGCTTCCCCGTGCCCCCCCCCCCCCCCCCCCCCCCATAACCCAGTCCCTCAACCCGACGCCCCCTCCGCGGCTGATGCGCAATACTGGCACATGAGTGCTCAGCCGTCCTCGCCCGCGAGTGGCCGGCCACCAGCCGGCACTCCTCCCCTCCCCTCATCGGCGCCGCTGGTGAGCGTGGTCTCCAGCGCGGCCCTGGCCCCAGGCGAGCCGCCACTGGTTGTGGAGCTGGAGCGCCTGCGTCGGCTCTACCTCCCCCCGCAGCACCACTGCTCCTCCTCGGATTCCGGGCTCCTGCTGACCTTCATCCAGGAAGACCAGGTCCGGCGGATCCTGTCGCCCGACGCCTCGGCGCCCCCTGACAGCGGCTCCCCGACCGGCGATCAGCACTGCCGCACTGGCGAGTGCGGCCGGTCGACCGCGCAGCCCGACACATCGGCCGGCGCCACGCGCACCCGCCGCTGCCCGGAGTGCGCCCTGCGCGAGCAGGCCCCCCTCTGGAGGAGCATGCCCCGGCGGGTGGATCCGGCCGAGACCCCGCGTCCTGGACGGGTGCCTCTCCACCGGCGGGGCCCCCAAGCCGGGGCCATCCCCCCCGCGCTGGCCCCCCTGCCGGAGGTCCGGGACCTGCGCCAGCTCGGCTGCACCCCGCTGCGGATTTTGGTCACCGGCGGTGCCGGCTTCGTGGGCAGCCACCTGATCGACCGGCTCCTGCTGGCCGGGCACCATGTCCTTTGCATTGACGATCTGTCCACCGGCCGCCGGCGGAATCTGGCACACTGGCGCGGGCACCCGAACTTCGCGGTCCGCCGGCACAATGTGGCCAAACCCCTGCGCGGGGTGGGCAAGTGCGATCTGGTCTTCCACTTGGCCTGTCCGGCCTCTCCGCCACACTATCAGGGGAATGCCATCCGCACGGTCAAGACCGCCGTCCTGGGGACCATGCACATGCTCGGCGTGGCCAAGCGCTCGGGCGCGCGCTTTCTCCTGGCCTCCACCAGTGGTGCGTAGGGACCCGCCCCCATTGGCTCCTCCGCTTCCTTTGCCCCACTCTCGGCCGCTCGCTGCCTCTCCCTTGGCAATGCCAGCCCGCGCTCCATGGCCACTGACGTGCCTGGGCGGATTTCCGGCGGGGGAAAAACGAACCCCCGACAAAACCCGCGCATCCCCTTTTTCCACAGAGGTTTACGGCGATCCCGAAGTCCACCCCCAGCCGGAGACATACCACGGATCTGTCAATCCGATTGGCCCGCGAGCTTGCTACGACGAGGGCAAGCGCATCTCCGAGACCCTGGCCTATGCGTATGCTCGGCAGCATGGGGTTGATGTCCGTGTGGCGCGGGTTTTCAATACCTACGGCCCGCGCATGGCCCATGATGATGGCCGTGTGGTCAGCAACTTCTGCGTGCAGGCTCTCTCCGGCCGGCCCCTGACGGTCTACGGCGATGGGACACAGACACGCTCCTTCCAGTACGTCCACCCGATCGGCCCTCCGCTGCCCGCCACCTCGGTGACCAATGCCCTCCCTCTCTTTTTGCCCCGTTCTCTCTCTCACACATACACGCACGCACGCACGCACGCTCGTATCTACGCACCCTCCGCAGATATATCCACGACCTGATCACCGGGCTCATCGACCTAATGGCCACCCCTTCGGATCATGAGGCTGATGGCTTGCCCGCCTTGCCGCCCATCAACATCGGCAATCCGGATGAGTACCAGATCGGGGACTTTTCCAAAATCATCCTCTCGACCGTCAGCATGTTGAACATGGACCGGTCACCCCATCTGCGCGATAATGTCGGCGTCGTGTATCTCCCCTCACCGGTGGACGACCCGAAGCAGCGGCGGCCAGATATCCAGTACGCATCGAGCCTACCCCGATGGATTCTCCCTCGTGCTCTCTTTCTCTCTCTCTCTCTCTCCCACATATGCCCGAGTGCTCACACCCCTCACACACGCACGCACACACACACACACACACACACACACACCGATGGATCATCCTGTCTTCTCCCTCCCCCCCCCCACCCTCCTCCCCCGGTCACGAAGGCGCGCCCATGATCTCCTCGGCTGGACGCCGCAGTTCGGCCTCCGCCAGGGGCTCCTGGAGACCGTGCACTACTTTTCACAATACTTCAACTACGGCCGGTATGACACCCCCCCGGAGCAAGTCCGCCTCGATGACACGGACCTCGACTGGTCCGAATGGGATCAGCCCGTGCGGCCCACCTGGCCGGCCTTGCCCGGGGGAGGGACCTGCTCCGCCGGTGGCGGCCCCTGCACCGGGACCGACCAGCTCAACTCGACCAGCTCCTTGGATCTCCATGAGGCCGTGCCCTTCGCGGCCGGATCCCCCGGGGACTACCGGAGCATGTCGACGCCGCTGTTTGGCCAGCTCCATCATCCCCGGCGGGGGGATGGCGGCGCCGGGTCCTTTGTCACTACCGAAGATGCCGACGACGATGGGAGCATTCGATCGCCCGTGGTGGCGGACACTGCGGCCGTCGCCGTCACGGCGCGTGGCAAAGACCCCCGGCCAGGCTTCGCGGCAACTGCCACGGCCGGCGCGACCGAACCCTCAGTATCGGACTTCCGGGTGCTGACGCGGACCCGGCGGCGCCCGGGCCACATGCCGGGCAGTCGGCCCTCCTCGGGCGACGGTGGCGAGGTTGCGACGCCCCCCTGTGGTGGCGCCTCCTCACTCGCATGTAAGAATGCTTCGCACTTGGTCACCGACTCGGCCCCCGCCGGATCGTCGCTTCCCCCGCAGGTGGATACCTTCAACATCGATGCCGCCGCCTCGCCGTCCCATCTCTTCCCGCCCGGCAGTGGCTCCGGGGGCGCCGCGGCAGCAGCCGGTGCATCTGCCTGCTGCACGTGGGCTGCTTCGGTTCAGGGGCCCCCGCCACCCGGGCCCCAGGGCGCCTCGCCCCATCAAGAGGGGGAAAGCCACCAGTGCCTGGACTCCACCGTGAGCACGCACTTCGACGGCGATGGACTGGCATCGGGGGGAGGCCAGTGTGGCTGCCATGCACACCGACCGGCGGCCGCCACGTCCAATGACCATGACGATGATGCCGACGAAGAGGACATCGAAAGCGAGGTGGAGAGCGATCACAGCGATCCGTCGGCCGACTCTTCGCCGGCTCCAGCCCGCGGGGTTACGTCCTCCGCCCCAGCCGACGGCCGCTCGATTGGTGAGTCTCTCTGTCGGCTGGCGGCGGCCGGCCTGCCGGGCTCGGTCTTTTCGATAGCTCTCCCGGATGAGCCATCTCCCTCTGGCAGTGGTGGCGTCGCCTTGGGCGGCGGGCGCTCGACAGTCGGAGGCTGCCATGGCAGTCGCCTGGCTGGCGACAAGCACCGGCCCGCCGCCGCCGCCGTCGCCGCCGCCACTGCCGCCGCTCCGGCCGATCTTTATGCCCTCTATCAGCGCCTGGGTTGCGAGGAGGTGGACGGCTGCGCGGTAGCCGGGGCCGCCTTCGCTGAAGCTGGACCCGGGGCCGCTGGTTCACCCCCGCACCCGGCCTGTCCTTGGTGCACTGGGTCTGTTTTCGTGGACGCCTTCCCGGATGCCGGGACCCGGGCCGCCTTCGAGTTGGGCCTGCGGCTGGCCGCGCACCATTACGGATAACACGTGATGACATGTGAATACACTCCCACCTCGCCCCTGGGCGGCGCGCGCGGCAATTGACCAAGGGGCACGGCGGGACAGGGCGCGGAGGGGGGGGGGGGGGGGGGGGGGGCCCCCCGGGGGGGGATGTGCCCCCCGCCAGGGGCCGCAAATTTTGATGTGGGGCCGCGCCCCCCCCCCCCCTCGGGGGGGGGGGGGGGGGGGGGGGGGGGGGGGGGGGGGGGGGGGGGGGGGGGGGGGGGGGGGGGGGGGGGGGGGGGGGGGGGGGGGGGGGGGGGGGGCGCACTCCGTTGGGGGATATGCTCCCTCGCAACGGCCGCTAAATTTGAAGTTCGGCCGCGCGTCTCTCCCCCGTCTGGGAGGACGGGGCAGGGTGGTTGCGAGCAGGGGGGGCGGGGGGAGGTAAGGCGCGATCCTGCCCCGCGTGCGGGCCCATATGAGGTCCCTGAGGGGGGAGGGGGGAGGGGGGCTCAGGCAAGGGCGACGAGCGCCCTCCAGGGTGGGATGATCTGGCAGCGCAGGGCCGAAGAGAGGCCGCTGCCGTGGGCAATCTCCGTCCCTTTCCTGACCTCCCCCCCCCTTCTCACCTCGCCTCCCATTTCTTCTGACCGCACAGACCCACTCCCCTCCCATTCGTACCCTCATACACACACACAGCACAGCACAGCACAGCACAGCACAGCACAGCACGGCACTTGCTTTCTTCTCACCTGCCGTCTGAATAGACTCACGTGTGCTCGCAAAGAGACAAAGAGAGAGAAAGAGAGAAAGAGGGAGAAACACACACACACACGCACACGTACGCGCGCATACACCCATGGCCCGGCCGAAGAAACGCCGCAATTTGAAGCCCCGCGACGCGTCGTGCACAAGCGCATCTCCCGATGGGGATGGACTCGTCAGCAAACCGGCTCCGGGGCCGGGGGTCGCCACCTCCGAGACTGTACCGAGCTCCTTCACCTCCAGCATCCTGTTTTCCCCCCTTCCAGTGGCCGATCGTCGGGCCATGTCGGCCTTCTCCCTGAGGCAGAGCGATGGTGAAGATGAACTGGCACCCGGGGAGCTGGCGCGCGCGGCCCCGGTCTCAGCACCAGCGCCGGTCCCGGCTTCGGGGGATCCCCCCTCGGCCATGCTGGCGGATGACGCATTCGAGGATGCTCGTGACGCCCCGGCTGGCAGCGCGCCCGCCGTTGACGCCCCCTCCTCCGGACTCGGGCGTAGCCTCACTCGTGCCATCATCCGGGTTGAGGCCGCGGCCCGGTCGTTCGCGCAGTTTTGGTGTGACGTGTATGCGGCCGTCGTGGCGACGGTCGTTTGGGTAGTCCTGCTGCCGGGGCGCGTGGTGGCGTCCGTGACGGCTGCCCTCCGGCAGGGTGTTGAGGCCTGTCGCGCCGCTGTGCGCCGGTGGCTACGCGCCCTCCGCTGGGCCGCGTCACACTGGTCACTGGTTCTCAATCAGGTACGACCATGCTTACCAGCCATATGCATCATTTGGCCGCACATTCGGTGCCTCCCTTTGTCCAGCCCTTCCGCCGTCTCCTTTTCCCACTCTCTGCTTCGACCCCTCCCCCTCTCACACATGCGCATACACACACACACACACATATATATATATATATATGTGCAAATATATGGACACATGGACACACAGGCCTTCTGGTCCACCATCCAGTGGATTGCCTTCCTGCTCTTCCCTTGGGTGTATTTCCTCAAACGAGCTCGCCGGGCTGAAGCGTACATTGCCGAAGTGGAGCAGCGCCTGGCTCAGGTGGAGCGTGAATTCCGCCGCATGCGTCGCGCCCAAGCCAAGGCCGGGGGAGCTGCCCTGTATGCCGGGGCCGCGTACCAGCCGGATGGCGGCATCTTCGGCGCCAGCTTCCAGCCGAGTGCCGGTGGAGCACCGCCCCCGGCCCCGCCGCCCCTGCCGTTTGCCGGGGGGGCGGCACCGCCACCGCCTCCGCCGCCCCCGCCCCCGGGGTTCGGCCAGAAGCGCCCGGGGCTGACGCTGACACGCGCCAGCCCGCGCAAGCCCCGGGCCCGAGTCGATGAGGCTGGCGGGCCGCCTTCCGTTTCGATTGACATGATTCGCGGGGTGAAGCTCCGATCGTCGGCAGCCACACCGCCGGTCAAGGGGCGGCTGCGCCCGCGCGAGCGCTCCGCCCCCGGCGGCTTGGCCGTCTCGCTGGACGCCCTGCGCGCGGTTCGGCTCAAGAGCACCTTCGCCAAGCAGGCCTCGGATGAGGGGGCCGCTGCTCCGACGGCCGGGGATGCTCCGGCCAGCGCGCCCACACAAGCCACCCCGGCTGGCCGGTCGGTCATTTCCGCGGAGGGCCGCCCAGATTGGGTTTCCCCGCGGGCGGCTCTTCTCACCCGGGGCGATGTGCCTGCGCCTGCCGGCGCTGCCGGCGTGGCGGCCAGCGAACCGGCCGCTGATCAATCCCCCATGCTTCTGTTGAATGCGCTGATCCAACGAGCAAAGGTCCGACATGTGCCCCCCCCCCCCTCGTTCTCCTCTCTTCTTGGCTTTTTGCTTCTCTTTTTTTTGCCCATTGCTTTCGCCAAATTGTGTGTGTGTGTGTGTGTGTGTGTGTGTGTGAGTGTGTGTATATGTGCACCGCCCCTCCTCCTCCTCCTCCTCTCCATGACTCTGGCCTGACCCCTTCTTCTCGCCCACCCAAAAGCTCTTCAACTCACCCGAGCTCGGCCACATCCATTCGGATGAGTGGTCCGAGTCGCCTAGTGAAAGCGCCCTGACCCGGGCGGCCCTGTTGCTGGCGTCCCCTTCGCCGATCGACCGGCACCCAGTCGATCCCCCGGCCAAGGTCCTCATCTTCACCGATGGCGATGGCGATGGCGATGGCGATACCGCCAGTAACAGCGGCGGCGGCGGCGGCGGCGGCGAAAGCACCCACGCCGCAAGCGCCCAAGAGGTCGGCCAGTCCGAGGAGGGCACCTTCCAGGAGGCGCCACCGCTCCCCGCCGAACCCATCGTCCCGCCTGCTGCCTGCTCATCACCGGTGGGCAGCCGTCTCCCTCCCTTTTGTCCTTGAGAGATACCACACCCCGCCCCATCCATGTACACAGCCTCCCGGCCGGCGTGGCCCGGCCGAAAGGGCACCCATTCCTTGTCTCGATTCTCGAAGCGTTCTCACACCTTGACGCGCCAGCCGACGCGTCAGCCAATAGACAGGAGGACATAGATGTGCATTTGAAAGGCCCAGGGGGGGGGGGCGCAATCCCCGGCCAGGCAAGGGACATACGGAGGGAGACCATCAGAGCTCGGCCAGCTTGTGGATGTCCTCGGGAACCAGGCAGCCCTCCTCCACAAGGGGAGTGCCAACTGGGCCCTGGTCATCGGGCGGTCGGCCAGGACAGCGACCGAGAAGGATGTCAACAAACAAGGGGGGAGGGGGGGGGGGAAACATGGCAAGGCCGGGGGCCCAGGGAGGTACAAGCGAGCCATGGCAAAGCGGGTGGGAGGGCAAAACGCACATCGCCCTTCCAACGCATCAGCGTGGGAATAGCACGCAGCTGAATCTTCGGGTGGACACGGTAAGGGTGCTCCGGGCGGTTCTTGTACCTTCGGGTGAAGTCGCCAGCGCACGAGGAACTGTCAACAACCGGGGCAAGCAGCCCAGAGCAGAGGAAGGAAGGCGGCAAGGAGGACGTACTCATCGCGGGAACCGACGGGGCACTCGACAAGGATGGCATTCTTCAGCTCGAAAACGGTCTTGCGGATGACCGGGTCGGCTGGTGAGGGACCAACAGGTGGCAGGTAAGCAATGGCACAGCACGAAGGAGAGAGGCGGAAGGGGTACACTGGGGTCATGCAATAGGCGCACCGATCACGCAGTCGGGGCACCAGGTCTCGCCGGTCTCCGGGGCGACGCTGGAGATGAACACCACGAAGACGAGCGGCTCGTCAGCCAGGTCGGCCATGATGGAGTCGAACTCCGCCGGCGAGGGGACGCGAACAATCTTGGACATGGTTTTCAGGGAGGGCGGGTGGAGGAGGGGGGAGGGGGGAGGCGGAAAGGCGGCAGGACAGGTGGTCACAGAAGTGGCTGCCCGTGGTGCAGGAGCCTCCCCGAGTTCTCGGCTGCTTATCAAGAAAACACCCAGCGGATGACCATGATCCGCCCAAAGCGCGGCCGGCGGTCAAGTGTCAGGGACAGGAGCCTCCCGCCCTCTGTCGCCCTCCCTTGCCCTGCTTTGGGCTGTCTAGCATCGCCACTCCCCCCCCCCCCCCCCTCACTATCACACGCGCGCAAGCACACACACACCTCGGCCACAGAGGAAATATGTCCGGTGAACTCCCCGGCATAAAAAGACCAGCCAGGTGCCAATCCTGCAGGCTGCCACTCGGCCGCGATGCCCTCTGCGATCACAGAACCCCGCACAGTCGCCGCCCCGACCGGGCTCCACAAAGCGGCGGATGCCGGACATGGCCCGCCCAAGCCGTGCGCTGAACGGACCGTCCCACTGGCGGCATTTTTGGGCAGGCTGCCGCTGCTACCAAGCCCGGGCCTGCCGACTTCGATCAACTTGCCCGGCTGCTTCTTTTTTTTCCCCCCCCCTTCCTCCAGCCCTTGCAACCCGGCGCCTGTGCATGTCTCTTCTCCTTTGCCGACTCTCCGCACACACCGGTCCCCTCATTCGCCTGCCCTTGTCCAGGCTCCTTTCCACCAGCACCATGTCCGACATTTTGCCGGTCGATCACAACCTCAATGTCCAATATGAGGACTTCTTCTGCCCCGACAAGGTTGTCAAGTTCGGCCAGGTAACCGTGCGCGCTGTGAACATCTTCTACCAGACTCCCCTGACTCTGGGGTGCGTACACAGGAGCCGGATGACCTAGCCTGCCCTGCCTGGCTCCAAGAAGCTGATCCCAATACTCCCCCCCCCCTGACCGCCTGCCCCCCTCCTGCTGGATGCGGACGATCAAGCTTTCTGAATGCCTATCCCCTGCTGCCATTTCGTGCGTGCCCCATCCTTTTGCCTGAGGTGTCTCCCCCTTTGCCCATTTGGCAGGGGCAATATCTTTGCCTCTCTCTCTCTCTCTCTCTCTCCCTCCCATCACCACCACCACCACCCTCCCTCACACCCCGCCCAGACTCTTTGGTGATTCCTCGCCGCGGCGTCAGGCTTCTCTGTGAGCTGACCCCGGAGGAGATCTCGGATCTGTTCAACTCGGTCAACATCATTGCCGAGGCGCTGAAGGTTGCCGAGCCGGCCATGAACTCCTACTCCATGACTGTGCAGGATGGTCCCTTCTCCGGGCAGTCGATTCATGTGCGTCTTTGGCCCTGCTGCGTGACACAATGTGCTTGTACCCCCGGCCCACCTGGCATGCTGACACACGCGCATGCCCAGCATGTCCATGCGCACATTCTGCCCCGTATGACGGAGGAAATTCGCGATGACAGCATGTATGTCCACCTGCAGCACAACAATTGCGAGATCCTACGCCAATTGAAGGCCGAGGGCGGCGAAGTCGCCGCCATGCTGGCAGGCATGGAGGAAGATCCGTCGCTCTCTCTGGAGGAAGCCGCCGGGCGAACTTCCTCCCTTGACAAGTACCGGCAGACCCCCTCCATGGAGGAGAAGACCGCGCGGGCCCAGCGTCTGCGGACCTTCTTCCCCGAGCAGTGGCCGGATCTGGCCTCGCGCTAGGCATCCCATTTGCATCCAGGCCTCGGGCGGGCATGTGCATCCGGCCACACACCGAGCCCGTGTGCCGGTGCCCGACAACAGTCCGCGTGCACCCTTGCATGGGATGCGCCGCTCGCGCCGACCCCCCTCTCAGGCATGCCTTCCTCAAGGACCGGCGCATGTATATGCAGCCGATGCATTGTGACTGGGCCGTGTGGGACTCGGCGAGATGGCAGCACTGGCGGGCACGTGTGCCCTGCCTTGTCGGCGTGCGACGTGTCTTCTTGCGTGTGCCTTCTTCTTTCCTCCCTCAACCACCGAAAGAGAAGCACTGAGGCTCACAGCACCCAGAAGGAGGAGCCCATCAACACAGACCGCTATCGCCGCCACTGCCACGTACATCCGTTTGCCTTGAGCCGCGACTATGAATGCTCCTGCTGACCGTGGTGCCAGTGCGCCCGTACCCCGGCGTGCAGAGGCGCCCGCCCCCCCCCCCCCCCTTCCCAAAAATGAACACCCGATAAAGCAGCACAATGGCTCGGTGGAAACCTCTCGTGTAGGCCTGGAATGTTTTCTCCTTGAGGCAGAGGACGGGAGGGGGTAGAGGGGAGACACGCTCCGTGGGCAGACAGTCCCTTGCACAGCCCGGCGCACAGAGGAGGAGCGGCGAAGGTCCTGCTTCGTGGCGAGGGCCCGCCCGGGTGGCAGGGCGGAAGGCCCCGCCCAGACGCCGCCCAATTGCCCGAGTTAAGATGGCAAAGCCCGCCGCTGCCACGCATTTTGGTTATAACTGTTTGGTGACCATGTCGCGTGATCGGGGCGGAATGAAGTGTCTTAAAGGGGCGCCAATCGGCGACCGCTTCGTGCGGACGACGAAGCCGCTCACATCCCAACCACGAATCCCCGCCCTGTTTACCCCTCTTTGCCCCTCCTGCCCTCCGTGATCCTCGCTGCCGGACATTCCCCCCCCCCTCCCCTCCATCCCTTCGCTCCTCTACCCCCCTCCCGATGACCGACCAGGTCTGCCGTCGCCTGCGGCCCGGCTGCTCCATTGATGTTCGTGCCCCTTGCCTTCATACATCCTGCCGTGAGTTTCGTTTTGGTGGTGCTCTACCCTGGCGCGCCGAATCCGACTGGCGCGCGTGTGCACACGCATATCCGGTTTCCTCTTTGTCCGCCTTCATCACTGACAATGTTCTTTCCTTCTGTCTCCTCCTCCCCCCCCCTCCCCTCCCCCTCTCGCCTTCTCTCTCTCCCTGCCTGCCCATCTGTGGGGTTCCTATCACGAACGCAGGATGCGTACAAGTGGCCCGTGCGCAATCTCTCCGAGTTGGACAGCCCCTTTGCCCTGCAAGAGTACATTCAGGATCTCCTCCGGCAAGAGGAGGTCAATGTGCAAGCCGCGGTTGTCTGCCCGGATGATGTGGACAAGAATGTCTGGATCCACGAGCACCTGAGGTGCGCAGACTGCGCCTTTGCCTTGTCCCACTCGGCCATAGTTGGATGCCTCGGGGCCCGGGTGGCCATGTGTGGATCCTGCTTCTTTTTTCTTTTCGCGCCTTCCCCATGGCTGACCGCCCTATCACGCACCCGCCACACAGGTATATTTGCATGCAGCTGGAGCTGCTGGCCGCCAAACTGGTGGATGTCTGCACCCCGGCCACCTGCAAGCAGATGTTTGCCACACCCAATGAACTATACCTGTGTGCGACGCACACCCGGCCGAAGGAGGTACACACGCCGAGTCTCGCAGCCGCCCTCCTCTCCTCTCCTTTGCTGCCTCTCCTTTTTCCTTTCCACTACACACAGCGGTGCTGACCTCTCCATCTCACGCCCAAACACGCGCATATTCATACATACACCGATGGGTGCTTTTTTTTTCCTGCGTCTCTACTTTTGCATAGTGCCCCGCTATTGATTACATCAACCATCTCCTGGATTCGACGTCGGCCCTGTTTCACAACAACAAGTACTTCCCCTCCCGGTACGTTCGGACGGGTCCCTGTTCGGACAAATCTCGCCCACCATTGCCTGACATCTGACGCCCCTTCTCTCGGCCGGTGCTCGGTGCATACACACGCACACGCACACACACACACACACACACACACACACACACACACACACACACACACACACACACACACGCAGGGTGACGGTGTCCCAGTCCTCGGCTGATGCTCACTTCTCCTCTACATCCCGGCGTCTGTACCGTATTCTGGCTCACGTTTACTTCAACCATCCCCAGGATTTCTGGAACTTCGACGTGTGTTGCGACTCTCCCTCTCCTACACTTCCCTCTCGCCGTGCCCCTTCCCTTCTTCTCTTCCTCTCCCTCCCTCCCGTGACCCTGACAACCCTTCTCCCTCTCGGTGCTTGTGCCACAGCCCGAGGGCGTGCTCCTGCGGCACTTCCATCTTCTCTCAGTGGAGTACAAGCTCATCGATCCGGACAACCTGATCATTCCGCTGAACGGGGATAAGAAGTGAGGGAGACAGAGGAAGTCCTGCTCTCGTCCCTGCGTTGGGTCCGGCTGTGTCTGTCCTCCTCCCCTCTGTCTTCCCTCTCGCCCTCCCTCCCACGACCTCGTATGATGCTGAGGGAGCCTATCCCCCGGTGCTCAAAACACAAACCATGTCTCCTGCCTTGAAACGACAATAAAGCAATCAAAAGTAGATGCATACCACACGTGCCCGCACACACACGCACACACACACACACACACACACACACACACAGCTACCTGCCAGCTTGCTTGCTTCCACGGCCACGCAGGGGAAGGAAATCCCCATCCCAAAAGAATGCAAGAAAAAGGAGAGCAGAGGGGCGGGCGGGGGGAGGGAGGAGAAAGGGGTCCTATCCCAAATGGAAGTGTATTTCTCCCGCGCGATCGCGCGCACGCGAATGCACATACAAGGGGAAGGAAAAAGCCTGCCTCGGCTACCCTCCTCCTTCGCGCAAATCCACGGAGATCGAACGAACACGGAGGCGAGCGCACGAGAAAACCGGGAGAAGGGGGGAAGAGATCCGCACAAGAAAGAGAGGATATGGGCGGGGGGGGGGGGGGGGCGCGCGCGCATGCAGCAAAAAGAGACACTGGCAACATCGTGTGCTGCACCATGCACACGCACACGCCGCCTCCTCGCACACTGGTGCACATACATGTGTGCACATCACGCACGCGCACAAGTGCCAACAGCCCCGAGAGCATCCTTGATCTAGTTGCCGGTCAGCAGCTTGCGGAGCATGTACTGCAGGATACCGCCGTTGCGGAAGTAGACAATCTCAACCTCGGTATCGAAGCGCAGGACAGCCTGGAACTCGGTGCGCTGGCCGTCATCGGCCACAGCAGCCACAGTGATGTCCATGCCAGGGCGGATGTCATCGGGCAGGGCAATGTCGAAGGTCTCCTTGCCAGTCAGGCCAAGGGCATCAGCGGAATCGCCCTCCTTGAACTGCAGGGGGATGATACCCATGCCGACCAGGTTGGAGCGGTGGATGCGCTCATAGGTGACGGCCACAACGGCGCGGACACCCTGCAGGAAGGGACCCTTGGCGGCCCAGTCACGAGAAGAACCGGAACCATACTCGGCACCGGCCAGGATGACAAGCGGCACCTTCTCAGAGCCATAGCGAGCAGCGGCATCGAAGACATCGAGCAGCTCGCCCGAGGGGAAGTGCGTGGTCTTGGGGCCGACGGCCGGGGCCAGCTTGTTGGCCAGGCGCACATTGGCGAAGGTACCACGAGCCATGACCTCATCATGACCACGGCGAGCACCGTAGGAGTTGAAGTCACGAGGGGCCACACCGCGCTCCATCAGGTAGCGCGCGGCGGCCGAGTTCTTGGCAATCGACCCGGCCGGGGAAATGTGATCGGTGGTGATGGAATCGCCGACATTCAGCAGGCACCGGGCACCGATGATGGGCTGGATGGGCTCGGTGTCGGCACCCTTGACACCATCGAAGAAGGGAGCGCACTTGATGTAAGTGGACTCGGTGTCCCAGGCGTACTGGCGACCGGTGGGGGGCTGGAGCTTGTTCCAGGACTCGTTGGCGGTGGTGATGCCATCATAGACCTCCTTGAACATGCTGGGCAGGAAGTGCTCCTTGACGGCGGCCTGGATCTGCTCGCGAGAGGGCCAGATGTCCTTCAGGAAAACGGCCTGGCCATCCTTGCCGGTGCCGATGGGCTCGGTCTCGAAGTCGACGTTCAGGTTGCCAGCCAGGGCGTAGGCCACACACAGGGGCGGCGAGGCCAGGTAGTTGGCACGGGTGTGGGGGTTGACACGGCCCTCGAAGTTGCGGTTACCGGAGAGCACCGCACCGGCGACCAGATCGCCAGCCTCGATGGCGGCCGACACGGCCTCCGGCAGGGGACCGGAGTTACCGATGCAAGTCATGCAACCGTACCCGGCAACGGAGAAGCCGAGCTTGTCCAGGTAGGTCTGCAGGCCGGAGTGCTCCAGGTACTTGGTGACCACACCGGACCCGGGAGACAGGGAGGTCTTGATGTAGGGCTTGACCGAGAGGCCAGCCTCCACGGCATTGCGGGCCAGCATACCGGCCGCCACCAGGACATCGGGGTTGGAGGTGTTGGTGCAGGAGGTGATGGCGGAGATGACCACCGACCCGTGGGTCAGGTCGTAAGACTGGCCCTCATACTGGAAGGGGACAGAAGTGGCGAGCTTCTCCTCGGCAATGCCGAACCCCTTGAAGCCGACCTTGTTGGTCAGGCAGGAGGCGAAGTCCTGCTTCATGGCGCTCAGCAGGACGCGGTCGTGCGGGCGCTTGGGGCCAGACAGGCAGGGGGCCACGGTGGCCAGGTCCAGCTCGAGGACATCGGTGAAGACGACCGAGTCCTCGGCAGAGCCGGAAGTGGCATAGTCACGGAAGAGGTTCTGGGCCCTGAGGTAAGCCTCGATGTAAGCCAGGCGCTCCTCATCGCGACCGGTCTGGCGCAGGTAGCTGATGGTGTTGCCGTCGGCCGGGAAGAAGCCCACGGTGGCGCCGTACTCCGGGGCCATGTTGGAGATGGTGGCGCGATCGGCGATGGACAGGGAAGCACAGCCGGGGCCGAAGAACTCGACGAACTTGCCGACGACACCCTTGGCACGGAGCATCTGGGTGACGGTCAGGACCAGATCGGTGGCGGTGGCGGTGGCGCTCAGGGTACCGGTCAGCTTGAAGCCGATGACCTTGGGCAGGACCATGGAGATGGCCTGGCCAAGCATGACGGCCTCGGCCTCGATACCGCCGACACCCCAGCCAACAATGCCGAGGCCGTTGATCATGGTGGTGTGAGAGTCGGTACCGACGACGGAGTCCGGGTAGAGGGTGCCGGTCTCGGAGTCGTGGAAGACCTGGCGGGCGAGGTACTCCAGGTTCACCTGGTGGACAATGCCGGAGCCGGGGGGAACGATGAACATGTTCTTGAAGGCCTCAGCGCCCCACTTGAGGAACTGGAAGCGCTCGATGTTGCGCTCGAACTCGAGGTCCATGTTCTTCTGGTAGGCGTCGCCGCTGTTTGTGCGCATGGGGAGAGGAGGGGGAGAGGAAGAGGAGGGAACAGCGGGGGGGGGGGGGCGAGGGGGGAGGGGCATTGTGAGTGGGGGTGGATTTCGGGGGCAAGATGAAGAGAAGGGTGGGAAAGGCGGAGGGGGAAGAACGGGAGAAAAGGGGGGAGGCCGGCAAATGGGCCAAAGCGAGGCAGGAGATGAGACAGCGGACGCACGTGCCGAAGAAGTCGACCTGGACGGAGTGATCGATGACCAGGTCAGCCGGGACCAGGGGGTTGATCTTCTCCGGGTCACCACCCAGGCGGGTCATGGCGTCACGCATGGAGGCGAAGTCCACGACAGCGGGGACACCACTGTGGGCATGGGGAGGGGCAGGAGTGAGTCATCGACGCGTGCGGGGGAGGGAGGGGGAAGGGGGAAGGAGGGGAAGGGAGACAGCGACAGGGCCAGGGGCAGGGCCGGGCAAGCAAGGGGGGGGGAGGAGCGGCGTGGGTACGCACGTGAAATCCTGGAGGACCACACGAGAGGGCTTGAAGGGGATCTCGATGTCCTTCTCGCTGGTGTTGACCCAGTCAAGGATGTTCTCGACATCGGAGGAGTTGACGACGAACTCGTCGCAGTTACGAATGGCCGCCTCAAGCAGCACACGGATGGAGAAAGGGAGCTGCTCGACACGCTTGTCGTTCAGGGCCGGGATGGAGAAGTACTTGAAAGCCTTCTCGCCGACGACGAGGTCCTGCTGGACCTTCTGGAAGGGGTTAGCCTGGGGACCGGCTGGTGTGTGTGTGTGTGTGTGTGCGTGTGTAAGCGGCGTGCCCAGGGACGAAGGGGGATGCAGAAGGTTAGCAGGAGGTCCTGGGAGGAGGCGAGCCAGATGGAGAGGGAGAGGGAGAGGGAGAGAGAGAGAGAGAGAAGACCAGCGAGGAGAAGGACACGCACACATTGTTGGGCTGGCACAGACGAGGCATGGTGGGGGCGGGAGGGAGGGGGCGGAGGGAGGCCGCTGGTCAGTTGCCACGGGGAAAGCATGAGAGTGTGACGGGGAGCAAGAGCACGAGTAAAAGGAGGCAGGGGCAGCGGGACTTACGAGTGGGAAAAACAAGCAAAGGGGAATTGAGCCTGAGATCCGAGGGCGAGCGTCCCGGCGGGCAGGTCAAGTCAATGGGACCTTTTTTGGTATCCACCCCCCTCGGAGCCCTTGGCCCAGGCACGCCGGCCCGAGAGCAACGCAGTCATGCCCTCCCTGCCCCCACCCCCGCCACTGCCTCGTTCGGTCTTTCTCCCCTCCTGCCTGGACGCTCCGCGCGGCGGGACCAATGGCTGGGCGCGGGGAGGATACCGTCGGGAGCCCCTCGCCTGGCCCGGGAGTTTGGGGTGGTCTGAGGGGGGAGGGGGAAGCGGATTTGGGCCAGTCTTCGCGGCGGCACCGCGGGACTCGGCTTGTCATAGGGGAAATGCGAGGCACCGCCAGGAGACACGCCGGCCGACGCCGCCCTGGCTCCGCCCCTCCCCGCCCCCCTCCGACCATGGCCGCCCAGTCTCGGGCCCCAGCCCGAGTGCCAGGCTGGCTAGCTAGCTAGCGCACGCGCGTGCGCGGAATAATACACGGCCGCCTGAGCGCGCGCGCACACGGGTGGTTGCGTTGCCCCTCTGACACCAACGCACTCCCCGCCCGGATGGCCACAGCAGGCGCACACACCGGCCCGGGGGCTCGTCGGCAACGAAGGACCTAAAAATGCCGGCCAGGGCTATTCGACCGGGCGCCGTCGGGGGGATAGGCCCAGGAGGGGGCCGTGTGTCGGGCCCGGTCTCGCACGTCCCCCCCACCGCAGGTGCGGGCGCGCGGGCGTGCATGCTTCGGTGTGCGTAGGCGTGCGAAGCGAGCAGGGTTGCCAGCCGCGCATGAGGCCATGGTCGTGTGTGTGCCTGCACCCGAGTTGATGCCCTGTGCAAGGCTCAGGCGCCGCCAGACGGGGGGAAGGGGGGGGGCAAGGCGCGGCGAAAAATCCCACAAGGCGAGTACCCACCCAGGGGCGGGCCCACCCTTGCGCAGGTGTTTGGTAAGCAAACGAGCCCACGACAGGGGACACACACACACACACACACCAGTACCGGAACCCTTGATATATCATCAGGCTTTTTCAAAGCATCTTTAATGGGGCCCGGGCCGCCCCTGGCGGGCGTCTGGGACAAGCGGCACAAGGGCAGGCCGGCATGCCCTGTGTCCCTCTCGTTTGGCTCTCACTAGCCCGACTGCCTCACATGCGTGGCCCGTCTCTAGACGGGCCTCAACCAACGCGAGGCCTCAAACAGCCGATGGGACGCGACGTAGCTCGCCGGCCCCTTTCGAGGGGGCGCGGGCAGGGGGCTGGGGACAAGGGGAGTCGACGTCCTCCCCCTCCCCCCTTGGAGGAGTTCGCGGAGGCCCCGCCCTCTCGCCTCCCAAACGGCGCGTGCCCATCGACCGTGGTGAGGCAGGGCAATTCTGGACATCCATGTCGACTCGGCATCTCGCGCTGGGCAATCACGCCGAGCAGACAACAATACCATTCCCACCGATGATCACGCAGGTAACCCTAAACCCCGGGAGGCTCACCCGTCTGGGATGCTGCTCCTTCGGCTCGCGCATCGCTCTCGCTCGTTACTCCTCCTTGCGAGGGCGGCAGGGGATGCTGAGGGGGAGGGGGTGGGCATTGTTGGGAACTGGTGCCTGCGCGCGGGCTTTCCGGGGCATTGTGGTCCTGGGCAGGCGGCTGGGGCGACACTCCATCCATAGGGCACGGAGACTGTCTCGCCAGGCCAGCCGCGGCTGGCCGGCCCCCCTCCCGGCCGGGGCAGAGGCACCCTTGCGGGGGGCGGCGGGGAGGGGGACGACGGGGGGCGGGGGGCGGGTGACCATCTGCCGACTGAATAGCATGCTTCTTGGGTGTGGCGCGAGGCGTCGTCCGTCAGGCAGGGCCCCTTTGGTGGTTGGCTCCGGGGCCCGGGGACGGCGAGGGCGACGGGACCGCGGCCCGTGGGCTTCTGTGGCCGTCCAGTCGTGGGGGGTCCCTTGTGTGCACACTCCGGCCCATAGGTCAGTCCGCGCAATCCCCGGCTCGCTCTCGGCCGGGTGCCCCTTCGCCGGTGAACACCATGCTGGGGTGGGAGAAAACATCGCCGGTGTCCGGGCTGCGCAGCCGATCCCCGCCACAGAACGTGAATCTCCATCTTTCCCGCTGGTCTTCCCGTCTCCCTCCACTGTGCATACCCGCCCCCCCCCCTCTCTTCGCCCTCTGCTTATCCTCTCTGCGCCTCTCCTTCTCCCTCTCCTTTCCCTCCTCCCCTTTCTTTCTCTCGCCTTCCTCCTGCTCTCCTCTCCTTATGCCATGCGGCGCATGGCCGCCATGCGGCGACAGGGGCGTTCGATGGTGCCCCCGTTGCTGGGGGGGGGGAACACGCCCACGCGCATGTTGTCACCTGCTGTTGAGACAGGGCCGCGCCAGACATCCAGTCACCTGCCGCCGCGTTCTCCTCCTCTGCCGGAGGGGCGGGAAGAGGGGGGAGTTGCTGCTCAGCAGTTCCTTCTCGGCCGGCCTCTGCCGGCCACATCTCCGATGGTGCAATTGCCCCCCCCCCCTTCTCCTCCCGACAACCGGAGGCGGCCTCTCATACGAATGGTGTACAACTGCGCGTGCATGCGCGTGCGCGCGTCCATCCCTCCCCCCTGTGGCTGTTCCTTGTGGCATGCCCTCACCCGGAAAAGCACTCCTTGTCGGCGTCCCGCCGTCCCTTTTGTGGACAGAACAGCGTGCCAGTCCATTGCCCATCTCTCTCTCTCTCTCTGCTCCTCTCCTCCTACTCTCCCACCCTCCTCCCCTGGGGCCCCTGTCCCTACGCTCCTCCTCCAACAGTGTCACGCATTCTCACCTCCTCTGCCTCCTTGCAACACCACAGCCACAATGCGTCCCTCCCTCTTCTTCAACCGCATGAAGCACGCCGGCACCTTCTTCGCCGGTGGTCTTGTCACCATGTTCTTCATCACCAAGCTCCAGCTCTCTGCTGCCAAGAACCGTGCGTACCCCCTGAGCCTGGGCATGTGGTGCCCCCTTCTCCTCGCTTCGTGCTTCCTCCTGGCAGCATGCGTCCGCCCTCGCCCCCCCCCCCCCCCCCCACCTGATGCCTTGTGGCTGACCGTCTCGCTGTCTGTCTTTCCCTCCCTTTCTAACACACACACACACACTCACGCACGTGCGTCCATCCAGCCGCCCTCATTGCTGAGTCTGACTACTTCAAGTCTGTCCTCGGTGTCAAGGAGGAGCACTCTCAGCACTAAATAGCCACAAGTGCTGGTAGCCTCCTTGGGAGGCATTCTCCCGGTGTTCGGTGGTGATGTTGGCATCGGTGAGGGGGGGGGGGCGGGGGAGGAGGAGGAGAATTCCCTCTCTCTCTCCCCCCTCCCCTCCTCTCCCCTACCTCCCATGCCTCTCGCTTCCTTCTCCTGTCTCACACAACATCACACCCGCGCGCATACAAGGGCGCCTGCGTACCCGTTGCATTGGCGCGTATGCGCCGTCGCTCGCCCATCGCCCCTTCCCTCCTGATACAATACAAACGCCTCCCCCCCCCCTCTCCTCTCTTGTACCGATATGTGCCATGGCAGGCCTCGGGGCATCATCTTGTTGGCTCCCGCGTTGTTGATATTTGGCAAGTGATGCCCCATGGTGGTAGCCGTGTCCTTTTCCGGGCTATCTTTACCTGACCCCGGGGAGGGCCCATGGAGCACGGCAGGCAAGGCGGGCTTCCCACCGTATCTCGCCGGTCCACAGCCGCGGAGTGGCCGGCATGCCCTGAGGCGTGTGCTGGGCCACCATGTGGCGCAAGCTGGCCAGAAGAAATGCTTCTTCTTCCCCAGTGGAGGCCAGGCGGGGTCCAACGGCCCCCTGTCGCCTCTGGGGGGAGTGCTAGCATTTCTTGCCATGAGTAGGCCTCCTCTTAGTCTCTCTCTCTCTCTCTCTCTCTCTCTCTCTCTCTCTCTCTATGATGCCCTTACTGCCATTGTTTCATGAGGGATGGCTCTTGTCCGCGGGTGCCTTTTCGAGTGCGATCCCCTGCCTCTCCCCCTATCCGAGACAGTGGCTCAACCAGTCTGTCAGGGCTCCGGCCTGGTGCCACCGCCTGTTCTTCATCCGTTGGCCTCTGTTTTTGATAGATTCACCTCCCCCTCACCCCCTCTCGCCCTCTCTCATCCTCTCTTCCTCTCGTTATCTCTCTCTTTCTCTCTCTCTCTTTCTCCCCTCCCCCACCCATACATACACCTGAGCTTATCGAAGCATGTGTGCACCCTAGGCATGGTACACTTGCATCCTCTCCACCCCACACTCTGGCCTTTGTCCGATCGTCAACCAAACGGCGAGATCGTTGCTATGTTGATCAGCAAAACACGCCCCCGTTGAGGAGACTTGAGGATGGTGCGGTGGCATGGCTCGTTGAAGAGCAGGGCAGCCGGATCATTGGTCATCCGAAGGCGACCATATGCCCGGGGTCCCTGGCTTCCCCCTCCACCCGCAAACTTCTCGGCCCAGGTGGCCCACACCTCTTGCGCCTCCCCCCCCCCCCCCCACCCCACAAGAGAGCACGGCGAGGAGTATCTCGCTTGTCTTTATGGATTGGAGGTTGGGCCAAAACTGGCGGACATTGTCCAGATGTGCTTCCGCCGGCGCGTGGGATGGAGGAGGAAAAGCGCCGGAGGGCCACTAGCAGGGAGTAGGGAGACGGTATCTCATGCGGTGGGTGGCTGCACACCTGTAAAATATATAACCGTAAATATAAACTGTATAAAAATATATATATATATATATGTAACTGTATATACATAACCGGGAGATGTACATATTCTGCCTCTCGATTGCATGCACATATACCGGCATGCACCATGCTCGGGTGGGCATGTGCCCAAGGGAAAGCGGATGGCACGGTATACACAGATCGAAAAGAAACCAGGGAAGGTACAAAATTTTTTCGAAGGGCAGAGAGAGGCGAAAGGGAAGAAAGGCATTGCCATTGCCCACGCATGACCGCCAAAAGAGAAGTTGTATATAAGGGAGAAAAAGAGAAGAGAGTATTTTGTAGTTCAAATGGGAGCAAGGTGTTGTGCACGGCACATCACGTCGGAATCACCACAGGGAGGGAAGGGAAGACAGATCGGGTGTTCAGGAGGGAGCAGGGAAAAATAGGGGGGGAGAGGGGGAAGGAAGGTAGTAGGGGAGGGCGGTGATCTATATATAGGGATCCGCGAACAGCCCGCGCGGTTTCCTGCTTGTGAAGGGGGGGGGGGAAGGGGGAGACTGCCCGTGCTGGTGCGCGTGGTGGTGGTTGGAAATGGACACTGCCAGCGGGGGAGGGTACACACGACAGGGCGAAATGCGCGCGCGCGCGCACACACACACACACACGCGAACACCAGAGGGAGGAGGAGGAGATAGGGGCAGACAGAGAGATAGAGGGGGAGGGGAGTGGCAGGTGCCGGAAATATCCATGTGCACACGCGCACGCTTGATCTCCTCCAAGGGCACAAAAACCTCACATAGAGGGAGGGAGGGGGAGAGAAGGAGGATGACGGGGCGCTGTACATGGGGACACACACAGTCCGAGGCCCCGGGGACCAGCGCGCGGCGACATCGGACATGCTGAAGAGCGGAAGACATACAGGTGCACCCCCGCGCGCACACGCGGACATGTGCCCCGCCCTGCCCGCCTCGTTCCCATATTTCCCCTCTCGTTCTCACACTTAGATACGGGGGCGCGCGCGGCACATGCAATTGGCCATCCCACAGAGGAGAAGCCCCATGGCGAAGCGAAGGGAGAAAGGGGGAGGGGGAAGAGGGGGGGAGAGATGTCGCGTGGTTGTGCGCGTATATACATATATATACACAAATATATACATACACATGCACACGCATACATATACATAAACATCAAGGACGGGGGCCAGCCTTCAGTGGCCGCGGCGGCTTGCCGAGGAGCACATGGATCGGGGCCTTGTGGTGAAGGGAGTTGATCATATCGCGCTCGAACTTGTCCTTGGTCTTCAGGAACTTCTTGTTGGCCATGGCCTGCATGCCGCGCACGGCGAAGATGGCCGTTTGCCCGCCGATCGACACGATCTGGGCAATGGGCCGATCTGAGGAGGAGGCGGTGCCCTTTTCTCCGAGAACCAGCGGCGGCCGGGCCTTTTCTAGACGGCAAATATTCCGAGCAATGGTAACACCATGGGAGGCAGCGGCGATGGCCAGCTTCTCGCATGGGAGATTGGAGGAATCACCCCCGGCGAACATGTGCGAATAGCCCTCCACCTGCAGGGTGTTGGTGACGGTGATGAAGCCATCCTCATCCACCAGCGAGGGGAGGGAATTTTGCAGGTACTTGGTCTGAGGAATGAGGCCGACGGCCAGGTAGAACTTGTCACATTCGAGGATGGTCCCCTTGTCGGTCTGCAGGATGGTGCCAGATTGATCGATACCGATGACACGCTCTCCGAGGATCAGCTGCACCCCCATGGACTGGAGGTACATCTTGGCCAGCTGGTGAGCCGAGGAAGGCAACCGCCGCAAAAGCAGCGGATTGGAACTCACAAGGGAAATCTTCTTCTCGGGGAACTTCTCGGCAAACTCAGCGGCCAATTGCACACCGACAGCACCACCGCCGATGATCAATACCCGCCGAGCGCGCTGGAGGATTTGGAACTCATTGGTCACCTTCTTGGTCCGATAGGCGGTGGTGACGTTGCGGCCCTTGATCTGGGAATTGTAGGAAGACCCACTGGCGAAGATCATGTAATCGCACGGGTGATCGACATTCTCCACCCGCACGCTGGTCGGGGTGATGGAATTCACATGGCCAACGATGATGCGGCCATTGCGCAGGTACGACGCATGGGGAAGACGGAAGCGATCGACCTTGCTCGGATCGGCGAACACCTGCGTAATGCCGGGCGTAAACTCGAAGTACTCCTTGGTATCGATGAGGGTCACATGGAACCGAGGCATCTGGTCCAGCAGGAGGGCCGCATAAGCACCAACCATGCCGCCACCGACGATGACCACGCGGCGAGTGTGGTCAATGACATCGACCATGGGCTTGACATTGCGCGCGGCCAAGTATTGGGCCTTGAAGCGCGGGAAGACATTGGTCTCCACCAGGCGGACAATTTCCTTGAAGGCCGTATCAAAGAGGGTGATGTCATCGTCATCGGTCATGGAATCCAGGTACTCCGGTGTCAAGAGCGACACGCGCTTGAGGATGGTGTCGCGCGTCTTGTACTCGATGTTCAGGGCCATCGGCGAGTCGGTGTGGATATACTCGCGGACCATCTCCTCGATGCGGTGCCAGTCGCGATTGCGCTTCAGCGAAATGACATCCCCCAGGAAGATGACATTCTCCTCGGAGAATTCCGACGAAGCAAAAGTAATGAGCGCGGCCCGGAGGTCGGAATTCAGCACCGCATCCTCCACCGTGAAGTCCAGCATGTCGGCCGGGGACTTCATCATGGACCGGTTGAAGAGCTTGTCGGTGATCATCTTCCGGTTGATGGAGAACATGTTGACCGACCGGGCACCCCGCTGGATGGTGCCCATGGCCTGCTCGGAGCGCGTGTCGTAGGACGAAATGCGCTCCATCGAAAAGTTGATCGAGGGCGAGGCCGACATCGAGCGTGACCCGGGGGTGGAATTCCCACCCCCAGGGGTGGAGGCCGTCACGGCGGCCAAATACTGGCTGCTGGTGGCCGGCGAGGCGGGCATGGAGGCGGCCGCCGATCCGGCAGCCGCCGAGGCAGGCGCCAGCCCCGGTGAAGATTCCGCCCGGAGGATGGCATCGTTGGCGGACACTTGCAGGTGACTGGGCCGGATGGGGGTCTGGGGCGCCGAGGCCGGAGTCGAGGCGGTGGTAAAGTCCTCGCTGTGGTTGAAGGCCGACTGCTTGGTCATGCCGAAGGCCCCGGTCGGTGACCCATGGCTGGAGGTCGGGGCCGTGGGGAGGGCATGCGTGCCGGCGCCGGCATGCTCGCCGCCCGGCGAATCCAGGTGCATGGAGGAGGTGGAAGATGCCGAGTGCATCCTGGTGCTGTGGCTGGTGCTGGTGGCGGCGTTGACGGTGGGACCACTGGCCAGGCTAGAAATGGTGCTGTTACTGGCAGCCGGAGAAACAGGCATGCCAACGGTGGCCTGCTTGCGCCGGGATAGGAAGGAGGTCTTGCCGGAGGAGGAGGAAGACGTGGAAGTTGCCGAGCAGGTGGACGCCGAGGAGACGATGGATGGCGAGCGAACCAGCACGCGAGTGGGCAGGTGCTGGAGATTGAGCGATGAGCCGGTGGCCGTGCTGGATGCGAGGCTGACCGTGGAGATGGAGTTACCACGCTGCTGGGGTGGTGGTGGTGGTGGTGGAGGTGTGGAGGTGTGGAGAGCCGGCCGGCATGCGGTGTGGGGGACATATGGGTAAGCACGAAGGTGGACAGACATACGGCGGGATGAAGGGCGGAGAGCGAGAGGGAAAGGGAGAAGAAGAAGAAGAAGAGGAGGAGGAGGAAGGAGTCCCGAGATGGGACCAGAGAGTGGAGACCACGCACGGAGAGGGAGGCGGGCCCGTCGTCGTTGGCCGCGGGGAGGGCGGCAATCGAGGAGGAAGAGGACAGGTGGTGGTAGTTGGGGTCCAGGCTAGCGGGGTCCTCAAGCAGGGCGCCGCTGTGGATGCTGCTTCTGTCGGAGGGGCTCTTTAGGCTGTCAACGCCAGATGCAGGGTCTTCGGCAGAAAGGGACTCCAGAAAAGATGACAAAGAACAAGTATCAGAATCGGGAGTCGTCGGCCTCATGTGTTGCAAGGGGGGGGAGGACGGGGAAGGGGGACACGGAGACGGGGGACACGTCGTCGTCGGCGTCGTCGTCGATGAAGATGGCTGTTCAGAGGGAGCCAGAGGGGGAGAGCCCACAGGAGAGGTGACCAAGGACGAGGGCACCTGACGGTAGGGGGTGACCTTGGTAGAGCGAGCTGGAGAGAAGAAGACCGACAGCGGGGCGGACGGGGCGATTGCCGGGGGAGTGGCCGGATCGATGGATGCCGGAAGCAGGACCAATGAATGGTCATCGTCGTCGTCGTCATCATCATCGATGTAGTCGGTGGAGGAGGCGGTCGAGGCCAGGGGGGCCGCCATGGCGAAGGGCAGGGAGGCGGGTGTCCGTGAAGAAGAAGCACCGCCGATGGCCACCGCCAGGACCGTGGGGAGAAGGCCAGGCGAGCGAGGAGCCGTCATGGGGGGAGGGGCAGCATCGACCATGGCGAGAGGAGGCGCAGCAGAGGAGGATGGGGCGGAAGTGGAGGCGGTGGAGGAAGAAGAGTAGGCAACAGCGCTGGAAGGGTCAGTGTTGACTGAGGAGGAGACTGGCCGGAGCTGTGGGTTGCTGGTGGTCGGCTCAATGGCAGTCGAGGGGGGTGACTGCGTGCGAAATGAGTCGGCCGCGGCGATCAGCGACTGCGACGTGAAGGGGAAGAGCATGCCGCGAGTGGCAGCGAAGGGGGGGAAAGGAGACGAGCCGTGCCGGGGAGGAGGAGGAGGAGGAGGCGAGGGAGGGGGGCACGCGCGCATGCGCTCTCACAGGCGATGTGTATCACACGAGGGCGGACCCGATGGGGTGCTCCCTTGAGGGGATAGGAGAGGGGTGGAGGCCGGACGGGAGCACACGCACACGCACTCACTCACTCGCTCACGGAGATATGCACGCGTGCACACACACACACACACACCCACTTGTTGACTCGCTCACAAAGTTTGCACCGGACACAGACACAATCTGGGGTAGGGGGAGGAGGAGGGGGAGGAGGAGGAGGAGGAGAGGGACGATGCGTACGGTTGTGGAGGGAGAGGCCGAAGAGGGCGGAGGAGGGCGGAGGAGGGCGGAGGAGGGCGGAAGAGGGAGGAGGGGGCGAGTGGCCAGCCGGTCAACCGAGGCCCAAAGCGACGACGGTAGGGGGAAGAGCAGGTGGTTACACGAGTCAGCCAAAGAAGGGGAGAGAAGGGGAAGGAGAGCAGCCTCAAGACACGAGGAAGCACTCAGGGCGAGATGGGGGATGGGGGATGGGGGGGGGGGGGATGGCAAGACAGGACAAGTGTGTGCGCGCGCGGGCGGATGTGCGTGTGTGTGTGTGTGTGTGCTCGGCGGAGAAGCCCGTGTTCGTTGGTCGCCGTGTCCTCAGGAGGGGGGCATGGGGCAGACCCTCGCGCGTGCGATTCGATCCGCCACCGAGAGGTGTGACATGCGGAAGGGAGGAAAGGGGACAAGGAGCGGGCACGGGCGTGCGCGAGCGAGAAAAAAA